TAGATATATATATATATATATATATTCTAAACGTTTAAATAGGCCAGGATAGACTGGTTGGTAGGGAGCTGGACTAACGTTTATGAGATGGGAGTTCAAATCCAGCCGGCCGAAGTGAATAAAATAGTGACTGGTGCACGCTAAATCTGTCAGTCACAAAGTCCTCCATGTCCCCATAACAAATCAGTACCTCTGGGGGTACTGGATTGGCGATGGATCGTTCTCTGGTTCAAGTCAAAATTGCGATCTGTGGATGAATGAATGGATATATGGATCAGTCTGCCCTATAAACGGGTGTGACGTATGGGTGTGGAAGAGCTCGACTTCTTAGCCATAAAATGGCACCACCTCAAAACAAGAACAATCGCACCCCCTCTGCCTTAATGGCTGACGACAACAACAACAAATGTTTAAATTACAAAAAAATGAATAATAAGAACATTTTTATACCTACATCCTACTCTTACCGTACAATAGTTCGTCAATCAAACAATATATATAATTTTGGAGGGGGTTTTGTCCCCAAAACTACACCACTGCTTCAAACAATGCTACATCGTGCGCTAATGCGGAACAACTGAGAAATTATTGTAAGTTATGGTTCTAAAAAGTTATGGTTTCCAGTGGAATTACATTTTGCATATTGTAAGATATATCATTTTGATGGAATGAATAATTTAAGAATCAACGGCTCAGAAATTTTTAAATGCAACTCTCTTCTAAAATGACGTAAATATATTCATCGAAAAATCTATAAAAATTGTAAAGATAAAAAAATTCGTTATAGGGGGACCTTATTAAATGTAGAATACTTTAATGTTATTGAACGTTCTGATCCATTGTTGTTTCTAATGCCACTTGCCACACGGACAAGCCTGCTTGGTGAAACCGAGCAAATTTAAGGCAGAATGTGTGTTTCTTGTTTTTTCAGTGGCGCTATCCTATGGCCAAGAATTCGTCTTCAGTCTCACACACACACGTCACAGCCCGTTTTATAGGGCAGACCCAGTCATACATCCATTCATTCATTCATCCACAGATCGTAATTTTTGACCTGAATCAGAGAACGATCGAGCTCCATTCCAGTACCCCCAGATGTATTGATTTGTTATGGGAACAGCTTTGATCCATAATAGGAAGAAATTCGTTGTAGCGGGACTCTAATATTGCTTTAGTTAGTTAATAATTAATGATGCAATCTCTATTTTCACCAATGTAGCTGCTAAAAAAATTAAGATGTTTTGTTTACATTCTCAGACTGACTTTGGTTGCCAACTCAGTCTTTTCTTTTCTTTCTTTTTTTTAAAGTTTCCGGTAAGGACAATAAAATAGGTTCAGAGAGACTAATTGCATCGTGAGGATGATTTGAAAAAATTAGAGGACATTCTAGATTGTGACCTGTCGTGCGTAACAAACACGTCCATGAATTGAATTCTTTTAGGAAAACGGCTGATGTTTATTTGGCAGCGATGTTATCTAGTCTATACTTAACAAATTGTTCTATGAAGATACCTGGATTCCAAAATAATATGATGACGGACAACGTTTATTTCATACAGACAGCGTAAGAGAGAATCAAATATAACAAAGGGGAGAAAGAATAAATCATTGGCACAGCGCCATCTATGGACATTAAAATTATATTGCTTTTTTTTTATTACGAATAAAGTTTAAATTAAAGTGTATATATATGTATATATACTTTTTAAAAATTTTCCACGCTTTTACGGAGGGAACTTCTTTGTCTCTGACAATCTTAAAATGCTAAAATAACTAAGAAATTTAATGACTACTAGAATTATTAATTAACAAAAGAAAGTAAGCTAAATATTAACTTAGAAAAGAAAATAACAGCTAACAATTAAAATAAGCTATACAATTAATAGTTTTAAAAAAAAATTACGAAGGATAACTAGCGAACGAAAAAAAAGCTAACAATTAATAGTTAGTAGAAAAACAAAAACAAGTTAAGAAGGAATTTTAAAAAAAAGTGTAAAAACTAACAATTAATAACTGTAAAAAAACGAGCTAACAATTAATAATTAGCATAAATAAATAAATAACTATTAACTCGTAATGAATCTCTTAATAAGTGCACTGTTATTTTTATAGTACATATT